TTAAAGTAGCTATCATATTGTATGTAATTTGCTGTGAAGCATGTATTGATCTATCTACTCTGAATTGAACCACAATTCATTGTTAGGATGTCCGTTTCAAATGTTTTCAGGAGTTGCAGTAACATGTCGTTGATTCAAAGGATCTATTTGATGTAGTTTTTCTGGGATACGTTGTTCATTTGATTTTAGGGCTTAGATTTACAGAAAAACTCTTCTAATTAGAATCAAGCTAAGCCAGACTAAGTGTCTGTGGTGATATGTATTTCAGTTCAATAATGATGTCAATAGCAGGTAAAGGATATGTCTCATGGTGTTTGTTGAGTACCATGTTCAAAGTGCCAAGTAATATTAAATACTTGCCATTGCATGAACAGGGCTGACATTCGACATACATAGTTAGGATTTGTCAGGTAATTTGTTGTTTGACTATATTTTAAGAGTTCAGATGAATATATTTGACGCTTATTCACATTAATCTAAAATTCTGTGCTATAATATATGTCTACGAAACAAGTTGAAATCAAACAAGCAGCGTCATACTTTTTGTAGGGAAATTTACTTTGTAGGGTTCATCCCTCTGCCAAGACAGGACCTAGACTTGCATAAGTCTTTAGGGCAAAGATTATTAGTTTACATGATTATATAAAAACATGATGTCCTTATAAGAGACTGGCATCCTTGTACTGTTGTCCACTTATCTAGACTTGCCTATTATGAGGCTAGAATTATTATATATTATTATTGGACTTATCATTCAGTACAGCCTTGGACAAGTCTAGCCAGGACCAAATGATCATGGGTTCAAATATCGGATCTGTACCTGTACTCTTGGCTTAAACTGATGTGGTTAATGTGTACTGCCTAGACAGTTAGTCTTTTCTCCTACATTGAGTTGAAATACTGTTGAAGTGTAGAAGGTATGTATTTATAGTATATGATTATACCTCTCTATATTGCACTTGTCTCAGGCTACAGTGCTTCAGCTGTCATCACATTGTTTACTAGTTTTTAGGGAAAATATGTTTGGAAAACAAAATGTGACAACAAGAAAGCTATGCAGTGAACATCACACACTTGAGTATGGTTCTTTAGTTTTATTGTGAAAAGGACCTTTAGAGATGAGTGACTTTTTCAAAACATTTTCTGGTATTTTTCCCAAAGTTGACTCCCAAAGCCGATGCTCAAATCATTTCATTTGGACTGATTGCTAATTGTTCTCAATTTACTTTCAGAAAATTGTGTAAATTTTAAAATATTATTCAGGGGCACGGGTGGCCCAGTCGTCTTAGGCGCCACGATTCCTTATGCAGAGTTGTGTCCCTTGGGCATGCTAGAAACCTATGAATGTGGGTTCAAATCCCGGTTCGCCCCGATTATGTTTCTAGGTTTGTCAGCACCATACCCGTGCTCGTGGGTTTCACCGAAGTGGTAAACGTCTGAGACCTGCATCACTTCGTGCTTTCCTCCCACATTAAGCTGACACGCCACGATATAACTGGAATACTGTTAAAAGCAGCGTTAAACCCAACTCACTCACTCACTAAACTATAATTCAGAAAAGACACTTTGAAACTAAATGGAAACCATGTAGAAGACATTGATGTTTATTTTAATTAGGGTAATTGCTGCAGATATTTCATACAATTTAATTTACTTGTTTATTGCAAGAAGAAACATGGCATATAAACCTCCAGACCAATCATATCCCTGTTTAGACTAAAGTGCCGCGATACAACAGATTAAACGTGGATTGGATTGAATGAGGATCAGTTTCATAGAAAATCAGTTTAATAACAATTTATAACAAAGGAACGCAAGATACTATTTTGAAATGTCAGTTGATCATGAGGAAACTTGTTTTGAAAAGTTTCAAAATAAAATGAATATAGAACTATACCAAGTAGAGAATTGATGTAAGCAAATATTCAACATTACAGATATTTTCACATTTCAATAGTGTAGACAAATGTAATAAAACACTGATAAAACTAAATCACTTTGAGATGTTTATTTAAAAAAAAATAACAGCCCAAAACAAATTATTTGCATTCATGTCGCACTTGTGTGTGACTTGTGTTTAAAAGGCAACCCCCTTTTCTAAAAAGCTGTATATATAGCCAAGCTTTAGTGTCATTTGGAGAAAAAGTGTATTTCTTTTAGGAGTCATTTCAGCAAGTAGTTGACCTGGAATTGATATATGAGTCGGTATCATTCGTACAGTTGCAGTGTGTGTGTGTTACTACTGAAACAGGTTTGGATTGCAGGTATTAAGGTTATTTAGAGCAAAGTAATCAACTTCATCCTTTATAGTTAAGTAGCTATCATGATGAATTATTTATCAACGTCATCAATAATTACCATGTATGTATTCATCTGCCTGGTGATTACTGACACAATGTGTCAAGTTACTGATCAGCCCACAGACTGACGTGTGTCTTTTATGTCGAACAGTTGGTCAATTTTCATTTTCTTGCTGTGAAAGGGTAGGCTGATTATTTATTCTGAAAAATATATATTGGAAAAAATGTTAACAATGGAAAATCATTTTTATGAAGTCTAAGGTGCCGTGAATACTGGAATATCAGATGTGAGATTTTATGCTGATCTCAGCAATAGGTCATCCATTACGGTTTAACCTAAACATAAGCTTTACATTTTTTAGAAACATGTGTTTAATTGTTTAATAATGGAAAAACATTTTATTACCCCGAAGTTGTATAACTTGCCTGGGCTAAACAGTAAGTGATGTGTTATGTTGTTGTTTGAGATATACTATCTTTAAGTTACATTAAGAACCTGTAGCAAGCTGTAACAGAATCTGTCGTATGAAGCTGTAGGTGAAGCTGTAGTATCACTCTGTAGGAGCTGTATTATCAAGGCCGTCTTCTTTTCGGTCAGTGCTCTCTGAAAATAGCTGCAAGATTGCTGATGCAATGTTAAACAATAACCACTCACTCACTCTTTCAATGTAACACTTCAATACAGCTGTAGTACCTTTATCAAGCAAGTGATATTTATTCCGAAGGAAGTATATTGCAGGGTCTGACCATCAGGCATACAAGCAGAGAATTTATGTGTTTAAATAGATATAAAAAAATGCAGAGAAACGATTATCTACAGCAACATGAGCCACATGTTAGAGTTGCTTATAAAGATTTTACCATCTACCACCTACCATCGACCACCATCAACCACCTATCATCACCTACCGCCATCTACCACCATCTACAACTACTAAAGCTTACTTTCGCAGTTGGAGTTGTAGAAATTATTCTGTTTTATCAGATACATTCTGAACTTTCATTGCTGTTTATTGCACACTTGGGTGTAGTGATGATGAATCATTGATGTGAGGATGGGAGATGATATGTTTTATGGATGTTTCGTGTTTGAACCCAGGTGTCGAGAGTCTAGCTATGTTATTACTATTGTAGTGTTTTCAAAGGATTGATGATTTCGATCTACTTTTATTTTCGGTAGACAAAACTCTTCCATTCTATTAGTTTGTTTAAGTTATGTGATTTAACGGATATTTAGTTTTCAATATGAAATGTATCATATATTTTATTAAAAAAAGTTTTGTCTAGCTGAAATGTTAGTGGTTGCTTTTTACACTCAGACAGTAAACAAAAATTGTGTTTCAGGAAACATAATTAAATATAAATAGTGTAAGAAAATAAATGTCTGTATCCATATTCCATGTGTTTTTAGATAAAAATTATTTCAAAGGTTAAACACTTAGAAAATATTTTTAACAAAATAAATCCTTGTCATTTATTTTTAATAAAAAGATGAACTTCCTGTGGTTAATGATAACAAATAATTGAAATTTATGACAATTTCATATATTTTTCCTAAGAACCATATGGAAAGTTGATAGTTGAGCTCATTTTGCTTTCCTTCTTTCATCACGGTTAAAAAATGACAAGCAGGAAAGTGATACTGTTTTCCCCATGACGTGAAATTCAAAGAAGGATGTAAAACACTCCTTCTGCTTTAAGAGTTCTCGAGTGTGTGAGCCAGGCTTGTATTTATGAAATGTTTACAGGCAGTGTGTGTCATATGGTGGGAACAATTGTAAGGGAGGTGTTGTAGAAAGATGCTTTAGTCACTGTTGGCCACAGGATCGCTTTGGACTCACAGGGAGACCTGTTGAAAAGAACTACACTTGGTAGGAAAGCGTAATTTGTTTCTGCAAGACATCCGTTGATTGCTTGTATATATAACTGTTGACTTCACAGAAACTTTCTGACCTGTTGGTTTATTTCATGAATCCATTTCTGTTTTGAGCTTGTATTACAGGAAACTGATTCTAAATAGGTCAGTTTTGGTCTTTAATATTTGTTTAATTTGAGAAAGCAGGAAATGATCCCCTGATGTCACATTTCAGGGGTAATTTTGTTTTATGTGAGGTGATGAAAGTGATCACGGCAGTTTGTCATGCATCAATTTCTGTCACTTATTTCATTATGGTATGAATGGACATGTAGATTTCAGCTTTAGGGCACAGTTGTACAATTTCCTTTGTACTCACTATGTTAATGTGTTTGACCTTTCAGAGAAGTGATTTTAATATCAAGTGGAATTGTATTGATTAATTTGAAATGTATCTTCATATTTGATGATTTGTTCTTGGGAAGGTGTTGCTGTTAAGCATTGACATTTAAGATGATGATTTAATTACATGTATGTGTTTGTGCAGCTCAACTCTGACACAGTTTTAAAATAAATTGCTGATGATACTTTTTTCCAATATTAATTTTCTTTTTTTCCCTTAATTATAAGGTACATTTACCTGAAGACAATTCAAACATAAAACCTCTAGACTTTACATTTATTTATCACCGGCTTTACTGGACTAAACCACTTTAATAATACCTTTACCAACAATGTCAAATCCCCATTCAAATACCATGTAACCCTTTATCAAAACCTCAGTGATAACATATCATTATGTTGTCTTATTGAAATTGACTAATGTCTGTTTCATTATATTCTAGGTTTACAAGTCAGGTTGAATCACAGTACGTGGATGTTATTGGTGTCAATTGCACAGAGATGTGAAGTGGGAAGGAAGGTGTCAGCATCTGTTTAAACCATGAGGAGTTCTTACACTGAGTTAGCGCTGCTGTGGCATTGGTTCCTCGTGCCAGCATTAGGTGAGTACCAATTCTTTCATGCCATTTACCATTAACATTCTTGCAGAGTTTCCGGTGAGGAGATATGCCAACAGCAATTTCCATTTGTATTTAAATTGGTGAACTTGGCAACAATGTTTTAGACTGATCAGATATTTAGTAGATGAGGATCTTAAAATAATTTTTTGTTGTACATCTGTCCATTCACATTTTGTGCCAGAAAAAACAGAGTATGTAAAGGATTTACCAAAGTATGGCATCATAAGATGACTGTTCAGTATAGTTCTTTTGACAACCAAATCTCAGTATGTAAAATTTAATAAGTAATGATTATGAAATGGGTTTGAGCAGTGGAATGTATATTCTTAATTACTGTATTTATGGCTACTTTATTTCAAACTGGAAACTCAGCAAGAATGTGATCTTCTACACTTTATGTACATGTGGAATCAAACCCAAGACTGGTAAGGGATGACTGAACACTCGTACCACTGGGCTACCTCACTCTTGCTCTCATTGAGAGACTTTCACATTCAGTCTTTCTCATCCGGAGACGTTCACATTCAGTCTTTCTCATCCGGAGACTTTCACATTCAGTCTTTCTCATCCGGAGACTTTCACATTCAGTCTTTCTCATCCGGAGACGTTCACATTCAGTCTTTCTCATCCGGAGACGTTCACATTCAGGTACATGATTGGAAACACTTTAAGTGTGAATATTTTGCATCTAATGTAAAACAATTTCCGAACCAAATATTAATACCAAATGTTTTAACATCTGTTTACACATGACATATATCTAAAGCATGACTTATCGTCTTCTCCAGCAGGTATAACATTAGCATCCGTTTACAATGGTTACAGGAAATTCAACATATATTCAACCCACTTCTTTGTAGGTTTATGTTGATAAATGGATCTTACACTCTCACACTGAAGCACACTATGACAGAAAAGCTAAGCCAGACCCTGAATCCTACATCTGTGATCATTATCAGCACATTTAGCTCTTGATCGAGAAAACAAAGGCATTATTGTCAGGAAAGTAGAGAATAAATTTACTTAATGACTTCTTAAAGCCAATCTGATGTTTAAATCACCATTTATCCTTCATAAGAAAGGGTTAAGAGAATAGGTGCTCATTTTAAGCATACTGGTTTATTATTTCTCTGCGCGATGTGTCTGGTGTGAATGTTTATGGTGTGTTGGTGTATATTGATGAAAGGATGTTTGTGTTTTGCTTATGGTCAGTCACTTCAGCTTGACCGTGGCTACCTTATGCTATTTACAGTCCGGGTCAGTTAAAGTGGTTTCAAGGGACCATATGTTTACACCCATCTGTGACCAGTCCATCAATACCTATAGCCTGTAAATAGCTTCCTGTTCATTGTTATTGATATACCTGCTTCCATTTATTCATATTGGTACCATATGGGGATTAACACAGACTAAAGTGGGATTATGAGAGATTTATGGCTTGAATAAAACTAATTTACAATTTGATGTATAGAAATAAGGAATTCAGACATATTTCCATTTATGAAAGGATAATATTTATTAGTTTGAAAAAGTCTTTGTAGTTGTGAAATGATTCCAGAGCAGATATGGTAGTTGACATATGATTGACATGTAATATACAAACTGCCAGAGATATATTCGTCGACTCATGACCAGAGCAGTTTGTCCTTGACCTTTGAATCACCTTTATGACTTGAAATATTTCATAAGGTTTTACAATGAACTTAGATTTGTTTCGATCAATTTAAGACCTAAAACAAATTTGATTTCCGTTTAAAATCTTGTTACATGGTTTACATCAAGTTAAAACCTACTTTTCCTTTTTTCTGATTTTGTAATAGGATTTTTAGATGAAAGACCTATTGTGATTGAATGAGGCCAATGAGACATTAGTGCATGTAGTTCAATCTCTTTGATGAGTTATTATTTCAAGATCACAGAAGCTACAAAACCAACTGCAGGAAGACAAACTATTCAGAATTGTTATTGTCTGCATTTCTTCCCAAGTAAGCGCTGTGTCAGTTGTACCAGATAGTACTGTTCAGATTTCAAACATCCTTTGGTACTGATTGGTTTCCAAGACAGAAGAATCTTGATATAAATTGAACCCAGATTTATTGAATTGAGTGATGTGATCATGGATTACAAGAGCAAATTGGTGTATTTAGGATAATATCTAAATATATAAGTTATTCAATATTTGTTTGATGTTGGTGTCTTGGGGTCGAGGGAAGACGCAGGAATAACTCGTCAGTAATGATTCCAATTTGCTTTGACAATGAATACGTAATGCTCATTGATGTAATTTTGAAGACAAAGACACTAGATGTATGTACGAGAGAAAATGGAGCATTTACCGTTAGAGTTTTGTTAAGCTTCATTTAGTATGGATAGAATCGAGGTGAGTTGGGTTGAGCAACTTGTTTATGTCTTAGTTAGAATGCAATATATGAGTCTTTGTTCTGATTGTACGCTTTGATGTGAGACAAATGAGATGCTGTCGCTAATATCATCTTAATTTTGAATCCTGTTTAAGTGTTTCGCTTCTGTAACGGTCACAATCATTTCCTTTTTCCTTCTCATTCTCTGCTTTGATGTGGGTCTTATTGTCAGAAGACTTTAAAACCTAACATTATAAGTATTATCTGTTTGGTTTAAGATGTATGTTTTTTAGGACATTTAAAACAGTTTTAATATCTGGACGATTGATCTAAACATTTGAATTTGTTCTATAATGTATATATATGAATATCCTTATCTGTTAACACATAGAGAATTCTAAGTTTTTGTATATTCTTATTCATAATTATTATTATTATTTTATGATTATTGTCACAAAAAATCACTCCAGATTCCATTTGATGCAACAAGGTTGCTTTGAATATGACATTTGTAAAGATCATCTTCGTAACTAAATAATAATTAATTTTTTCACATTGTTAATATATTAAGAGCATCATCATTTCTATCAGACTTCCATTAACTTCCACTTTAAGAGAAATTAGTAGTGGCACTAAATTGCATTTTCAGTTTCCATCATATTATACTTGCCTATCTCGTGTAATGACATGTAGCGGACTTGCGGTCATGTGACCAGGATGTCACTGTATGTGACTTGGGAATGTCAGGAGGCATTGACAACAGGCTGTTGATGGGATGTAGTTTTGATTCATAAAGTCGAGTGAAAATTGTGATTAAATTTGATTTCTTTGTCATATGAAACTAATTGGTTAGTGGAACAAGATCCAGCTCTCAGTCATTTCTGGATTTTTGTTTGAAATGTATGTTAAATCAATTGAAATTGACATGAAGTGGAGTTCATGAATGCTTTAATGGCAGCCGTTGACTGTCCACATGAAACTGTAGTAGACACTGGATGTAGTGAAATAGGAGAATATTCTGTTAGACATATGAGATGCGTTGACATATTTTTCAGGAAAAATAACTGGCGAATGAGTCACTTGAGGACCGCTCACAGTACAACATTATACTTAAACACACAACATTACTTCTTTAGAAAAGGAATTAACTTATTCTTTCATTTACAAATGCAACGTTTCTGATAACATGTAAGGTATCTCATTATAAAGCTTAATGAGCTATTTCAAATGCATACATACAAGACCAAGTCTCTAAGTCAAATTTCTGTTTCTTACCATAAGTAGTTGTGTAGACAATACTATCAATTCAAAATACAGTCCAATTGATCTGTCTAAATTAAATACAATACTATCAATACAAGTTGTCTGCACAGTGCTGCTCCCAGTGAAATTGTGTTTCAAATATGTATCAAATGTTTCTTTGATAATATAAAGAATTCAAACTATATTAGTTCAGAAGAGGGGGTTTCCAGACTAACGGAGTCCGAGCTAACAAGTTTGCACTGTGTCGTTACTTAATCTGAAACAATCTTTTCAGTTTTCTGTAGACATTTTAGAGGTATGGTTCATGTAATCATTTCTGGTTTAGAACTCTGTCTGCTCAGTCTGTGATAAAAATGTCTGGGTTTCAAACCAAGCTATAATCTTCTCCATCGCCTGCAAATGTCCAGTTCGCCATATTTCAACACATTGTAATCTTTCGTCGGCTCGGCTGTTGTGCCGGACTGTCAACACGGGGCCCCTCCTCAGCCAGTGCACTGATCATAACACATAATTTGTTGTCCGTCAATATCGGATAACCAGACACATAGAGAGAAACGATATTGTTTCTGCAGTGCACATAAATCAGTCGATCAATTGGTTATTACAAGACATTCTAGATTAAGCTGAGTGAGATAGATGTTGAGTTGCCTTGTGAGCATAGACTGTCATCAGTATCGCTGAGGCTCCGCACCAGGGGGATGGATCGTACATTTTCATTTTTAGAAACTTGAGTTTGTGAAAGGAAACATCCATTCAAATTATATTTATGGTTGAAAATGTATGAAATATTCTTAACAGTTATTGTGTGATTTGAATTTTTATAGTTGTAAAATTTAATTTGATAGTTTTGAGGGGTTGAATTATGCATTCAAACTATTTTTACTTATTTGTTTATGTTTATTTCTGTTGGATTTGAATAGTTGTGATCACTTTTATTTGATGGATATAAATTTCAACAATATTTAGATGAGGAAGAGAATATATGGATGTCAACTTCTTTATTATGAGGAACACAACGTTTCGGAGTATATGCATACTCCTTCATCAGGTGAATGAATGCCATGAGGCAGAGAGCATATATATGTATATGTAAGGTCAACAAAATTAATAAGATGAAAAAAGGTTGAAAATAACAAATGGTAGAAACTAACAAGGGAAGCCAACAGATGTTTGGCGCTGATAGGTGATAAGCAATAGACAATGGAAGCCAACACTTTACAGTAATTAGCCCTGATAGTATAGAAGCAAGTACTTAAGTTATCTAATATTTATGATTTGTTTCAAATAATGTCCACAGTGTGCTATGTCAGTTTCTTTATTGTATATCCACATCAGATTCAGAGGAACAGAAATATGAAA